TCTGGGAAAGTGGACCCCCAAGAGCTGTGACCACACTAGCTTCTCTACTCCTGAGGCTGAGCCTAAGCAGGTATAGGAGGCAGGGAATTCCAGTCAGACCCCAAGAGACAGGTTAGTTTTATTTCATGTCACAGAAGCCCAAGCCTCCCCAACACACTCCATTGGACTTGAAGATAAATGCTCAGGGTTGACCCAATGGACTGTGCGCTGCTCCCATCTCACCTGTAATTTGACCTTATCAGCTCCAGCCTGGGTCTGTCTGCTCAATGGCTACTGCAATAGTGAATAGGCAAATAAATTCAGGGCAAGATGAATAAATGAATTAGTGCATGGATAGATTGGTACATGGATGGATTGGTACATGGATGAATGGATGGATGGATGAATGGGGCAAGGATGACCTCAAAAGCATTCAACCTCATGAGGTCACCATGTTTAGAAGGGATCCACACTTGGTTTAATGCCATGCAGGCACAATCTTGAAGTTCTGAATAATTTTAACAAAGAGCCCTTCCTTTTCATTTTGTACTTGTTCCACAAATTATGTAGCTTGTCCTACCAGGGGCCTTAGGCTGGGTGTGGGATGCCCTTATCCTGGAAACTGGCCTCTGATACCACTATCCTCATCCCAATCAATCCACAGCCTTCCTTGAAATGCTCATAACACTCTCCTATGTGGAGTAGTTCACCCACTTTCCCCAGTGCTTGGTGTTACACTGCCTAGCCAGCAACTGGCCACCTACCATTACTATTAATGTCCTGACAAGTTGGCATCATGATATCTCCAGGGCAAAGCCCAAATCCTCAGCCAGTACCCAAAACCTTCCCAAAGGCTTGCCCTCCTTCCCTGCCCATAACCTGCTTCTTAGCTGAAGAGCTCAATTTCTGGCCTAACAGATCTGTCCCTGCCATTTCTCCCATATGCCTTGTCATCTCCACTTCCCCAGCTTTGCTCACACAGCCCTGTGGGATACCCTGCCCTGGCATCATCTGCCAGAGAACCAACTAAACTCTGGAGGTCTAGCTCAAGGCCACCTCCCTCAGGAAGCCCTTCACTGGAAAAATCATATAATCATAATAGTTACCATTTATTGAGCCCTATTAGGTGCCACATGCCCTTTGTTATTTCAACCTTCATGGCAGGGGTTCTCGCCTTTTCCAGGAAATTAAGACTCAGAAAAATTAATCTCAGAGAGGTCGCATAAATGCTAGGTAGGAGAACTGGGACTGGGACCTGGGATTAAGTGGCTTCAAGCTGGAACTGCTACACCCAGCCTAGCTGGACTCCATGCCATTTGCCTACACTAGGTGGCATTAGGCATTTCCACTGGCTTCAGGGTCCCAGATCTTTGCTTTGCCCTCACAAGCCTGTCCTATCACCTCACTGGAGGGAAAGGGTCACCACTGCCTGCCCATCCCAGCCCCCAGCCTATGAATCCTATGTTGTTAGGGGGCAGCTGAGGCCCAGCCTAAAGACCAGAGAGCTTAACCTACACAGCCATTTGATCTTCCCTGCTGTGTAAGCATCTACTGAGCACCTACTGAAGGCTCAGTCCCATATTAGGAACTTGGAGAGAACCCAAATAATAGCTAGGTGTTTCCTGACTGGTGGAAATCAAACTGAGGCATTAAAGCAAAGGCATAGAACAGCCTGTGGACGGGGAGGCATCAGATTTGGCCTCTGGGCCTAGGCTGGCCTCTCAGTCGCTGAGTGTGCTCAGTGCGAAGGGCTGCTGTCAGTCCTGTACTATCAGCAGCTCCCCCTTCCCGAGGGACCCTTCTGGGGAGAGCTTCCTGCGCCATCTCATTTATCACATTCATCCCATTGCTGACAAGCCTAGTCTGGCAGGGTCTTGGCTGTGCTCTCAAGGCTGACTAAGTGAGTGACTTATTCTCCCGTGAGTGAGTGAATGAATAACAAGAAGATGGCCTCTAGCTTTGCAGAGGGCTGTGTGCCAGGCCCTGTTCTGAGCATTTGCTGTGTTAACTCCCTCCATAGCTTCAATGACTCAGTGATGAGCCCTGATTTACAGACCAGGAAACTGAGGCACAGAGAGGACAAGTAACAGTCAACGGGAGAATCAGAGGGTGAAGACTGAAGAAAGGAGTGGGGGGAGAGATGCCGAGAAAGTGAGGGGGTAAATGAAACGTGGACATTTTCCCTCCTCCTGATGTGCTGCCCGGGAGGGCTCTGAGGGGAATCTCAATGTTCTATAATTGGCACTGATTAGTGACGGGTTTTCTCATTAGCCAGCTACCCCTGCCTGATTTGCAGGCTCTGGGCTGGTGGGGGAAGGCTGCATGCTGGTGGGTCAGTAGGAATGGGCCCCAAGGCCTGCCGCCCCCTGCCCACTGGGCTCTGAGAAGGCATTCTCCTTGCAGCCCCCACCCAGCCCATAGCTGATCCCGGCTGGCAGCAGCCCGAGGAACAGAAGGTTTGCTTGTCTGCGCCTGCCGCACCCCCTTCCCCAGCCCCAGCCTGGGACCCCTCTCAGGGGCTCCTTTGGCTGCCAGGGCCTGGCGCTCTCTGTTGCCATGGCATCAACTGGAGATGAGGTGCTGGAGGATGGGGGCAGGGAGGCAGCCGAGGGAGGTGGAGGTCTGGAACTCTGCAGCAGTGGAGGCCATGGCCCTTTACAACCGGGCAAAGGGATGCTGGGCCCAGGGACAGGCCTGGACCCTGAGCACAGCACACCTGGGGCAGGGTTGATCATACACCTAGCCCAACGGTCTGAACAATCCATCCCAGGGGATGGGGTCAGACCCACGATTCTCCTCCACTAGGACCTCTCTTCTCAACCTACTATGCTGACCTCTTCTGAGTTCTATCCCTACCTTAGCTCTCAAATTTCTGAGCTACCTGGGCTACCTGGGGCAGGACCCTTGTCCAGAAGCAACTCTGTCCACAGAGAACCTAAGCAATCCTGTGCTAGCAGCATCACCCCGTCCCCTTCTCCAAGGCAACACCCTGACCTTGGAGGATCCTCTGGCCTCTGAGAGCATAGATGTGTGGACCTATTCAGGTGAGCTCCACGGGGGAGAAATTCTCTGTAGACAGAGTTGTTTCTGGGCAGGAGACAGGCAACCCTTCAAAGCAGTTAGGAAAACAGGCTTTGGACTCAGGCCAACTTAAGCTTGCATCCTGGCACTGCTGCTTATTGGCCTTGTGACCTTGGGCAAGTTACTAACCTGAGACTCAGTTTCCTCCCCTGTGAAATGGGAATGCCAAGAGCAAACAAAAACCCCAGGTCATCTCATTTAGCAGAGTGGCTGGCTCCAAATTAGTTGGGGCTTTTGTTTGTTTTCAGATTAGGGGGCAGCAGAACTCTGAGTGAGAAAGCAGATATCCTGGGTTTAGGGTGGAGAGGCTGCTAGACAGTAAATGGCTAGACCAAGAGGTAGGGGACACACACAGCAAGACATATTGCAGTCAGTATAATAAAACCATTCTGGTAGCCTGACTTCTGGAATCATGAGCTGCCCTGAATGTGAGGTGGGGAGATCGCTGTTATGAGAGGGAGATGATCATAGTGCTCTGTGAAAAGTTACGTGACTGTCTTTCTCTAACTGCTATCTTCAAAAGACAGTGTAAAGGAAGTCTGGAAACAGGGCAAAGACCAGGCTGCCCTCAGCCTGTGCTGTCCAGGCTCAGGCTTTCCTTTTTGATGGCTTCCAATCATTGCCTCCTGCCTGAGAGGCAGTACATAGATGTTGGGCCTGTGTGCTAAAAGGGGAAAGTCCGCCTAGGATTGAGCACTGGAGCCATGGCTGGCAAGCTTTGTGATCTCAGGCAAATGATTTGACCTCTCTGGGCCTCAGTTTCCTCATCTATAAGATGGGAAAGTGGCACAATGTCATGGGATTGGTCTAAGAACTTGGTGAGATGGTTCACATGAAGCATAACCCAGGAGGTGGGTGTAAATCCTAAATCAGCAGTAGCTATTATTATCCATGTTTTCTTCAAGGCCATCTAAGTCCTTGTTCCTTTTGGAAGGGCTTATAAGGGAGGGCCCAAGTAGGATCCAGGATGCTTGGAGCCAGGGGTTCACTGGGCCTGGGCAGAGCCAGGCCATATGGCCTGAGCATGGCTGTGGGGACCTAGCAGGGGAGGCCAGTGAGGTGCCGCAGGAGGCAGGAAGTGCTTGCTCGGCAGGCAGGCAGGCAAGCAGGCAGCTGCAGGCTGGGGCACGCATGGGCCTCCCTCCCTCTCTGACCTCCTTCCCAAGCCAGTTCCCAGCCTCAGCCTGTGTGGGGACCCAGGCCCCCTCCCTTGGGCCCCAGCACCGTGAGGCACACACTGAGTGCTTTCCCACGCACTGTTCCAAGTAGCTGGACCGCCATCATCCCACCCCCAGGCACACACATTCTGGGGGTGGGGTGTGTGTGCTGCAGTAGGGGGGCTCAGGCTGGGAGATCAGTCTGTTCTTTATCTGCCTGGCCATGTTCCAGACAGATGTTTCATTTTATTTTGGACTTCCAGAAAATAGGTCATTTCTTTCCATCGTGTCCCTGGGGAGGCCTCATGGGGAGAGGAGCACATAGTGAGTGACATATGAGGGGCCCTGGGGAGCTGGAAGGACAACAGCCTTGCCTTCCTCCCTCAGCGGCAGGGCCAGTGTTTGACAGTTCTTAGAGGCAGGGCTAAGAAGATGGTCTTTACCTAAGAGCCAGAGAGAGCTACAGAGGGACCAGGGGAGACACAGAATCATTAGGGTGTTACAGAGGTTCCTCTGGCGAGGACAGAGGACAGGTGAGAGGGGCAAGATGGAAGTGAGACACCAGGAGAAGATGAGGGCATGGAGGCAGCCAGAGGCTGCAGATTCTGTGTGGATGGGAAGCAGAATGGCGATCCATGGAACCCGCCATAAGCTTCTGTCCCCTTGTACCTCCAGAGCAGTAGAGCCCTCTTGGCCCTGACTAACTGGACTGCTGCTTTGATCAGGGGGTTTTGTAGGTAGCTGGGAAGCATGAAGGGCCCTGGTCTACCAGCAGCATGCTACAGACAGGGGGGCGAGACATTCAAGCTCCTCTCTGTGATTTGGACCACATTGCTCACCCTTTAGTCCTCACGGGCTTCTGAGGTTGCAGGGAGATTCACTGTGTAGGAGCGCATGCTGGGCTTTATCCAACAGACAGAAGTGGGGCATGGGACTGGGGGGGAAGGGAGCTTTTACCCCTACCCAGGTCTCTCTCTCTCCACTTGTTCCTATGTCCCCACCCTCCAGATACTGCTCTGGCTCTCAGGATGAGGCTTTCTGACCCAGGCTGCAAGATCACACCCATATCTCAGGCAGCTTGGAGAAGGCCACATGGGCCGGACTCTTTGCCAGGTCCAGTCCGTGTTGCTGTCACAAGCAAACTCTCCAGCTGCTGGCGAGGACTCTGTCCCTGGCTTCAGATGCCTCTTGCCCCCACACTCTCAGGCCGGGAACTGGCTGCCTTCTCCGAGCTGAGTCACGGCATCCTGGCTGAGGCCCCTCCCCAGCGTCCCTATCCCACCCCAGCATTCCAGGTCCACACAGCTGCCTTCCAGAGCAGGGTCCAAGAGCCCAACTCATGCCAGACCTGAAACTTCTCCCACCCCCTGTACAGATGGGGAAACTGAGGCCCAGAGAGGGGCAGGACTGTAACACAAGTGGATGACAGAGCTGGGACCAGAACCCAGGTTCCCTTATTTCCACCCTGAAGTTTGTCCCAGGGGCTGTGAAGCGCCCCTGCTGTGGAGGAGAAAGAGGACAAGCAATGGATCAGGACACTGGTTTCCCTGCCCAACTTCTGCCAGGACTTAGCAAGTCACCTACTCTGAATCTCTGTCACCAATGTCTGCCTGGCTGGGAAGATGCAGGAACAGTGAGAGGAGTGTGCTGTGAGGAGAGAGGCCAGAGTTGTAGTCTGAACTCTGGGCTTTGAGCCGGGGCTGACAGCAGGAACTCCCACTCAGGTGAACTTTAGCACCTCACCAGCCACCTGAACCCATCCAAACAGTAGGACCTCCTCTTATTATCCTTCTCCAAGCCTCAGTTTCCCCAACTGTACAATGGGGCACAGGAAGTGGGTTGGATCAGATATGATCCAAGGTCATCAGACATGGAGCGCTAACATTCTAAGACTCTGACCTTGTGACCAGACCTCCTTCTCCCTGGGCATCTTGTTTATCCAGAAATCCCTGGTCTGAGGCTGCTTGCCTCATCTCCCATCCCCAAACCACAGCAGGGCTTCCTCTTTCCCCATCTTTCTGCTGTTTCTGCTCAGCCTATTCTCTGCCTCCGAGTTGAGGGCCCCATTGTCCACTTTGTGCCAAGAGGAACGTTTGCATTCTAAACCAGCTCGATGGCAACTCTCTGGCCCCATTTATTTTTGTCAGTGATGGGGATATAATCCAGGGTCTCTCCTATGCTAGGCATGCACTCTACCACTGAGCTACATCCCAGCCCCTTAGTGCAACTCTTAATCCTGTTCTTTGGCGTCATCCTTGTCTCCCCAGCACACACACACTCCTGTCCCCCAGTATTCCAAGCCAGAAGCAGAGATACAGGCTCACCCAGGAAACCTACCAGTCCAGCCCTCCAGCATTCAATCAATAAGCTCTGTTGATTAGCTAAATTCATCTCAAATCCATCTGTTTCTGTCAGTCCCCACCCACTGCCCTCCACCCAGCCCCAACCAGATAAGCACTGTGATCAGAGAAGCAATGCCGGGGGGCAGGGGGGGGCACAGGGTCACACTACCTCACTTCAGTCTCTGCTGTATCCCTGTCTGGCTCTGGGGTTGGACACACACAGCCAGCACACATGTATGTATTTGAGGAGTGTGTGAACCAGCGCGTAGGCAGGCATCTGCGCCGTGTGCATGTGCTCACTGTATGCAGACCTCCCCCACTGGCAGTGATACAGGCCCCCCCTCCCTGCCTGTTTGTGTCGTGGGAGCCTCAGGACCCCGAGGGAGGGAAGCTGCTGCTGGCGGATGTGGCCAAGATGGACTGGATTTATTTAGATTAAGGCAGTGGGAAAGGGGCAGAGAATTGTATATGCTTGTAAGAGGGGAGACTGGGGTTCTGACAATGACTCCCCAAGCATGCCAGAGTGAGGCTTGGGGGACTCACTCTGCTCCCCTAAGAAGTCCTCACTATGAGGAGCTGGGTGCTGACCTCTTTGGACCTGGACTGTATAGTAGGAATCCTGAAGGCTTTCTGGCACACAGCACTCTCTTCCTGGACAAAGTGGGTAGCTTGGGGATCTCCTTCCTGAGCAGGACATTGTGTCAGGTAGAGGGTGCCTTCTCCTAACTGTGATACCCGTGCTGACATAGGTGCTTCTTCCCTGGAACATAGACCTTCCCATGAAGAAAGGAAGTTGTCAGAGGCAAGCCACCACCCCAGGTCAGCTGCCTGGGCTCCCCTGGGTTTGTTGGGACACAGCAGCCTTTGGGAAGCACAAAATGGTTCATAAGACATTGAGAAGCAACTGGGGATGTCTGGAATCATGCAAATGGTCTAGAAGGTCATGTCTGGGTGCCCCAAACCCCACTCTGGTGCATCCTAGCTCTCTAGCTTGCTGTCCATGCCACCTTTCCCCATGCTACCTCCTAGAGTTCCACATCCCAAGTTCATTTGGCTAGAAGTCACCTGAAAGACTATTATCCAATTCCTATAGAGGGGGAAAGTGAGATTCAGAGAGCAAAACAACTTGTTGAAATGAACACAGCAGGCCAGTGACAAATGGCCAGAGTCTTTCCAGGCATAGAATGAGATGTTACAGATCAGGTTACTCTGGTCTCAGAAAAGTCATCCCTTCCTTACCAACCCTGCTTCCTCAAACCACCCATTGAGAAACTTCTTAGAGACTCAAACCTTCTCTTTGGCTAATAAAAAGGCAAATCTTCTGAATTTGGATAGATAGCTCTTTGAGATGACCCAACCAAACCTTTCTGTGTATGGATGGGCTGGAAATCCGCTTGTTCTTACAATGGATTCAATCAGGGACCTTGTAGGGAAGCTGAAATGCTTGTTTCAGAAAGTCAAATCAGTCCAAAACCCCTAGGGTGTCTATCCCCTTCCCAAAACATCTGCACTCTCCTGAGCTCATTTGCCCAAAGTGTCTTCTCCCACACCTGAATTAGCCCTTTTCTATGTGACTAGGTCATGGTTTTATGCCCATTCAAAAAGGATCCCTCCTAGCTCAGAGACTCTGAGACACTCTCAGCCCCAGTCCCAGCTGGAGATGGCTTGAATGGGGGAGGATGGACTGCCACAAAGAAGCAGGGTCAGGGGCTGCATGCCATGAGGTCCCAGCCCACACTGGCCAACCCAGCCTTCCAGAGCCCTGCCAGCCCCCTTCCAATGACCTCCCATCTCCTGGCCAGGCAGCGAAATTCCTCCTTTAGAATAATAAACAGTGTGGCCAGCCAGGGAGGCTGGGAGGGGAGGGAGGGAGGCTGAGATGACCCCCTCCCCCAGCCTGAGCCACTAATGATTTTCTTTGGCCCAGATCTCTGGCAGGAAGTGGGAAGCCAGAGGGGCACCCACCTAGGGGCAGATGGGCCTATGTGGGGGCTGCTGGCTCCACTTGGGCACTGCTCCATCTTGCCCAAGAAGACCTGGTGTCCAGCTGGAGGAGCTGGCTCAGGAAGGATAGGGATGGGAGATGCTGTGGAGGGGGTATCAGGAGAGCTCGGCTTTGACCTTCTGGATCAATTCAGACAAGGGAGAGGAAAACAAAAGGGGACTCTCAGGTGGGTCAGTCCAAAGGGAGGGAGGAGGAAAAGAGTAGATTTTTCCCACAATGATTATTAGAATGTTGGGCAGAGCTGAGACTTGGGTCCACAGGACCAGAGCCTTGCCTCTGTCCCCACCCTTGATGTGTGACTGCAGCCCTAACAGGCAGTACACTCTGCCTCATCCCACTGTGACAGCAGGAGGCTCAGCCCACAAAGATAGCAATGGCATACCAGGCAGCCTGCGGGGCTCAGGCATGGATCTCCAGCCCTGGAAACTAGAAGGAGTGAGATGGGCAAATGGGGACACTCTAGGCAGGAGCTGGCATGGTCAGACTGGACAGCCACTCAGGAAGTAAGTCTGTGTGCCCATAGCATCAGGAGTCTCCTTGTCGCTTTGTCACATGGTCCCTTCCCACATTTCTTACTCTGTGACCCCCCATCTACCTGTGGCGTTCTTCCTATGGAAGCTGTGGGCAGTCCCTTGGCATACCTGGCTATTGGTAGAGATGCTAACAGAAAGGATAGAGTAAAGACCCCACCCAATTCAATCTGTCTATCTGTCTCTGTGACCCTGTTTCTGTCTCTGTGCCTCTAGCACTGTGTTTCATGCATCTACTCTCACTCTGTCTCTCATCTTTTTCTCTCTTCCACCATTCAGCTCTTTTTGGTTCCCTCTTACGTAGTCTCTGCTGTGGAGCCTTGGGCAAAATTCCTTTCTTCTCAGAGCCTCAGTTTCCCCATTTGGACACTTGAGGTAGAGGTGGGAGCTTGGCTTCAGTGGTTTTGAAGGACCTTCAAAGCCTACTAAGTTCAATGGGACCCGGACCCTGGTCCCTTCCCCCGGGCCTCTCTGCACTGCTGTGAGTGAGTAGGGGGGCCAGGCCCACCCCCCACATTCCACAGTCCCGACTCCCCCGCTTCCCTTCCCACAGCCGCCCCATTTCCTGTTGTGCTTGCAGAGGGAGCTGTGGGAGTTCTCTGGGTTCTGGCTTACACCACCCCCCTTCTCCTCCAGGGCTTTCATCACACTTTCCTAAATATTTGTCCTGGCAGATAAGCGCCTGGTATTGGAACTGTCACTGAAGGACAGGCTGTCAGAGCTGGCAGGCTCCTGGACACTGTCCAGCCCAACTTCCCTGTCCCTGCTGTACATACAGGGAAACTAAGGCTCAGAGAAGCAAAGGACTCAGTCAAGACCACATGAGGGTTAGAAATAGAGAGGAGAGGGTCTGTGGCCATAGGTGCCTCTCAGCCTTGGGACAGGAGGCTAGGTAGTACAGGCTGGGAGCCTTGGCACTGCCTCTGACTACCTTGGGCCCTGACTCCTGTTTAATTATGCAGGATACCATGCAGCTTCCAGGTGTGATGCCAGGTCTGCTCCTCAAAGGTAAGTAGACTACGAGTGGGACAGATTCCTGGGGAGCCACTATGCAGGACCCTGGAACTGGCAGAGCTGGTGCATGCTAGTACAAGGGCCTGAGAGTCCCAGAAGCACTGCTATGGTGTTGGGCCTCACTTTCCTGTATTTTGTGGGAGTCTCTGTGGAGGTATCTTTCAACTGCCCATCCATTTGCTTAGAAGCCTTCGGTGGACCCCTCTGTATCCAGAGCCATCAGCTCAGATCCTTTGCTTGGCTTTCCATACCCCACTGCACCCTGTAGCAATCACCACAAGCCTCCTGTCTCTCGTCAGACATGCCTCCAAATCTCTAGGAGCTGGGCAGATGCCCAAGCAACTAATGACGAGCCATCAGCCTGCCCTATAGACTGTTGTCAGAAGCTATGGCTTACTCAATGCCCGTCTGTCCTGAGTTTCATTAGTAGAGAGCATGGGGGTGTGGCTTACACAGCCCTTCCCCGGAGGACCAATCACTTGACATATGCACACCAATCCCAGTCCCCTTTGGGCCCCAGGTGCGTCCCCACTCTAAGCTACCTCCCTCCCACCTCCTCCCAAACAGGGTCACCTCTGGCTTCATAGGAACCTGGAAAGCTGGGGGGCAGCTGCAGGGGAGAGGCCCAGAAAGTGACCTGGGAAGTAATGCAGGAACTGGAGGCCCGGGAATTGCTTCCCGAGGATTTCCTGATCCCTTTCTCTGCCTACTGCCTGAACACAGCACTGCTGAAGGACTCAGAGGCTGGGATGTACAAGGACAGAGACAGAAGCCAGGAGCCTCTGGGGGTTGGGGGACAGAGGGAGGGTTGGCAGTAAGCGAGCAAGCCAAGAACCACAGGCAGAGGGGTCCAGTCTTCATTGAATAGGGAAGGATGTTCTTCCAGGACTTGGGGGCTATGCACACACATCTTGGGGACAGCTCTGGGGGAGGTGCTAAGGCCCCTGTGCCCTGAAGTCTGACACCTCCTGTCCCAAAGGCCAATTGCTGTTGCTGCCCTTGCTGTTGCTGCTGAAACCACAGACCTCCCAGGGCCTGGTCATCGTGCCCCCGGGGCCAGAGCTTGTCCTCAATGTCTCCAGCACCTTTGTTCTGACCTGCTTGGGTTCTGCTCCTGTGGTGTGGGAACGGATGTCCCAGGTGCCTCAGCAGCAATTCACCAGGACCCAGAATGGCACCTTCTCTAGCATGCTGACACTGACCAATCTCACGGGGTTGGACACTGGAGAATACTTTTGTACCTACAATAGCACCCTTGGGCTGGAGTCCAGTGAGCGGGAGCGGCTCTACATCTTTGTGCCAGGTAAGGGCCCCCAGCCTGTGTGCCCACTCTGTTACCCTCCTCTCCAAAGGCATCAGAGGGTGCTCAGAGAGTGCACAATGAAATGCAGCCATATTAGAAACACAGGCAAAGTGTGGGATCCAGCCTGCCCCTGACCAGGAGTGTGTTTGTTCCCACACATTGGCCTGGCCTGGATATGTGTGCTCCTTGCCAGCCAACCTATTCCTGCCTCCCAAGAACTCTGTATTCTCAGCTGGTAAAATCTGCTCCCTCTTTGCTCCCATGCCTCATCTTCCCTGTTCTCCAAGCTCCAGGTACAGCCACACTTCAACTTGTCACTTGTTTTTTTTTTCTTACCCTGGCACTGAAATATCAGATGTTAGAGCTGAAAAGGCTGGGGATGCAGGTCAGTGAGAGAGCGTTTGCCTAGCATGCAGGATGGATGCACTCCCCAACACTACAAAAAAAATAAAATAAAGCAAAAGAATCATCTAAAAAAGGTTATATCTTGGTCTGAGAGCATATATCATAGTCTGATTTTTGCTGCTATAACATAATACCTGAGACTAGGTAATGAAAGAAACTGATTGGTTTATAGTTCTGGAGGCCAGAAAGTCCAAGATCGAGGGACAAAATCTGGCAGGGCCTTCTCATTGCATCATCCCATGGAAAAAAGGGAGAAGGGAAAGAGAGAGTAAGAGGGGGCCAAACTTGTGGAACTAATCCCATCCATGGAGCCCCATGGTCTAGACACCTCTTAAAGGCCTTATCTTTTAATATGGTAACAATGACAATTAACTTTCAATGAATTTTGGCAGGGACCAACATTCAAACCATAGTAGCATCCTTATTCTGAGGGCCAGAGAGGAGAAGAGACTTGCTCAAAGTCACATAGCAATTCACAGAACAGCCAGAAACTCAGTTCTCCTTACCTTCATTCTTGGCTCCACTGCTGGCAGATCCCACCATGGGCTTCCTCCCTTTGGAACCTGAGGATCTATTCATCTTTCTTATGGAAGCAAATGAGACTACAATTCCATGCCGAGTGACAGACCCCCAGCTGGTGGTAACATTGCATGAGAAGAAAGTGGACATCCCACTGCCTGTCCCCTATGACCACCAACGAGGCTTCTCTGGTATTTTTGAGGACAAGACCTACATCTGCAAAATCACCACTGGGGACAGGGAAGTGGATTCTGAAGCCTTCTATGTCTACAGCCTCCAGGGTGAGCCCCCTTTTTGGCCCAATGCTCAGCAGAGGCAAATATAACCCTTATCAGAGGAACAGCTCTTTACAGTTGACAATGTATGAACTCCATTTCCCAGATTTTCACCATAGCCTCGAAAGGGAGTTAATGTTTCCCCATTTTATAGATAAGGAAACTGAGGCTCTGAGAGAGAATGGAATCTTGGAATCTTGGAATGCATTAGTGACAGAGCTGGGCTGCCTAAAGTGGTGGGCAAAGGGACAGACTTTGCAGCCAATTGGGTTTGAGTTCCAGCTCAACCATTTCCCATCTGAATGACTTTGTACAAGGTACACAATCCCTTTGAGCTTGCTTTTTCCTCTATAAAACAAGGGCAATGATGATTGCCTATCTCATAGGATTATGGTAAAGATTAAATGAAAGGTGGAAGGACCCTGGCACATGATAAGTGCTCAGCAAACCTGTGCTTAGATCACCAGCTGTTAATGCTTCTAGAATATCAGTTCTGTGAGGACAGAGATTTTGTCTGTCATGTTCACTGCTCTAACCCAGTGCCTAGAATATACATGGCATAAACTTATTCAATAAATATTTGTTGAGTGAATGAATGAATCTTCCCCACAGCCAACCTTTCCCTCTGTGGACCTCTATCCCATTCCCATTCTGAAGTGCTAGTGGCTAATGGTGACTTCCCCAGCTCTAAGCCAATCTCTTTCCTCCAGTGTCATCCATCAATGTCTCAATGGGCGCGGTGCAGACTGTGGTCCGCCAGGGCGAGAACATCACCATCCTGTGCATTGTGACAGGGAATGAGGTGGTCAATTTTGAGTGGACGTATCCCCGCATGGAGGTAAAGCTGGGCCAGGGTTTGGAGGAGGAGCTAGGCTGGGACAGACATCTCAGCTTGCCACATGACTTCTCATGGACCCCCCTCCTGATTTGGAGACCTCCTTTCTCATCTGTCCCTGCAGAGTGGGCGACTGGTAGAACCAGTGACAGACTTCCTCTTTGATGTACCCTCCCACATTCGCTCCATCCTGCACATCCCTGATGCTGAACTAGGTGACTCAGGGATCTACATCTGCAATGTGTCAGAGAGTGTGAATGGCCATCAAGATGAAAAGGCTGTCAATATCACTGTGCTTGGTGAGTGCCTTGGACTCAGAGCCCAACCTCAACCTGAGCTGGACCCCGACTTTGGCATAGCCTTAGTTAACCTCCATTCAGTCCATTCCCACACTGCCCTAGCCAAAGCTCCAATTCCAGAATAAAAGTGCAGTGTTATCTCAGATTCAATCCCAATCCCAACCTAGATTTTCCACCTGGCCAGAACCCTTAGTCCCAACCCGATTTCTAATCTAATCTGCCCAGGCAGCCCCATTTTCAAATTCAACCACAGCATTAGTTTGAAGCTCCAATGTATCTTAGCTATATAATACTGAGTCAGAACAGAGAACTAAAATTCTAGTCTCAACCTCAAAACTTGCCCTAACACCAATACCAGCGCCAAATTCAACCCTCGATCTAGTCCTAGCTCCAACTTTAACACCTGCTCCATTACTAGATGGTTTCTTAAAGCCTAAAGCCCAACTCCAAGACGACAAGGCTCCTTATCTCAACCAGCAAAACCCCTTGTTCCTTCCTATTATTGCTTATACTCTCTCTACAACAAAATTAGAGATAAGGGCAAAATAGTTTCTGCTGGGTATTGAGGGGGGGGAGCGGGAGCGGGGGGAGTGGGTGG